TAATAAATGTTATTCGAGGAATAAATATCGGTCTATTTATTAGTATACGGCAGATGAACCAAAAATATTCCTATTACTTTGGAAAACATTGAGCATTTTCTGAAAAATCTATACAGGGGACTGTTTATAAAATCCGGAGACAAAGTTTAGATGACTTTTTTAGAATTACAAAATAATAATTATAAAAAATAAATAAGTCACAGTAACAAGCAAACAATATTGGTTGAATAATTAAACAATTAGGTTGATTCCAATAGTTACTGTCTTTTATTAATTTAGTCTGAAGTGACCATTTTGCTTTGGTGACACGTCAGGGGACTGGTTTTTAAGGACTATAAAAACGATTTTGATACATTAAAGTTTATTTTATTGGATTTTGAACGTCGAGCATAGGTAGATTAGGTTATTATCTTTTGAAGTTATCTACGAAATATTTATGATCTGTTATTTTTCTAAACAATATTAGCTTGAGACAATGAGTTGCCCAGTTTACAGAGAAACGCCCAAATAAAAGTACCAAAACAAAGCATTTTTTGTGTAGGTACATCGCCTTCTGGCAATAAAATAAAAATAATAATAATAATAATAATAAACAAATCAAAAGAATAAAAATAAAAGTGAAAAAATTCCCTGGAAATTTGAGCCCATAATATCACCATAAAGATTTCCCATTTAAAATACACGTAAACTTTGATAATTTTTTTTTAAATATCTATATCTCAGCCGCATTTTATGCTATTGTATTGTTTCAAAAAAGGATTTACTGGTAATCAAAAGTTCTACAAAAATGCTTTATGTGACATAGCTGTAATCTGCACCTGTAGGATGGTACGGGTCACTAAATTCTCATATTTTTGAAGATATTTCAAAAGTGACTGGATTCTTTGAAAAAATGTAAAGGACAAACTTGTGGAAAATTTAATTTTTTTTAAAAAGGTCTTACCAATTGAATCGCTAAGATTGATATTTGTTGAGATATAAAGCGTTTACATTGACAATTTATGAAATTTTTAGAATTTTCTTACCAAACTTTTTATAAATGATGATTTTCAATTGTTTGTCAGTACAATTTTATGTAATTACCTTTTTTCTACAGTCGGGTAATTAAAGAAAAATAAATATCTAAAACAAAAAAAGCACCCTATATATATGTACATATATATATATGGAAATACCGCAAATGGAAAAAATTAATTAAATAAAAAAATGGAAAAAAGTAAATAGTCAGAAAAAATACATTAAAATTTTGCAGGAGCTAGATAGAGCATCCTGATTTTAAAAAATTACCAAGTTCTGGGATTTTTTAGAAATTTGACAACACTGCAAAAAAATAAAAAACAAAGATTTTGAAAATTTGTAACGTCGCAAAAAAATGTTGAAGTTGTGGGAATTAAAAAAAAATAAAAAAGTATAATAAACTTAAAAAGCAAAAAATGTAGATGTAAATTTGGCAACACCGCTAAACAGTAGCGAAGGTATGAATAATTCCTAGATTTTGCCAACTTTTGTAAATTTGGCAAAAACGTTAAATTGCAACGTCGCAAATAAAATTTAATAAAAATGCAAAAAAATTATATTTTAATTTGGTGACACCACAAAAAATATAAACCCTAGATTCTGATCTTTTTTAAAACTTTTGTAAGTTTAGCAAAAATGTTCATTAGTGCAACGTCGCAGAAAAAGAAAAAAGTATACTTAAATTTGGCAACACCGCGAAATTGTGAAAGGCATCCTGATTTCGAAAAAATACCAAGTTCTGGGATTTTTTTAAAATTTGACAACACAGTAAAAAAAAATTCCTATATTTTAGAAATTTTTGAAAATTTGTAAGGTCCCAAAAAATTAAAATTAAATTAAAAAAAAGTAGCCTATGTTACTCTTCTGTCCATATACTATATCTAAGCAAAAAATCAGATAAAAAAGTAGTTAAATATAGGTGACTACGGCCCAGGATAGACTAAGTATTCCTAGCGGTCCGCTAGTAGCGGATAATCGCTTTAAGAAAAATTTATATAAAAGGCATTCAAATTGTATGTGAACACACGTGAATGTTGTCCAAAGATTAGACTCCAATGGTGAATGGGTATTTTGTTAAAGCCACTGGGCGTTAATACTTGTAGTGGCTTAATAATAATTATAATGTATATATTAACTTGCAAATTGAAAGAAGAAAAAGTTTCGTGATTATTGCTTATCTTTTTCAAACCAAATATATGCTACGGAGACAGGAAAATTAACTACTACATTTTTTACAAGGTTAGGTTTAACCTAACAGCAAATAATTTTTATTTTTTGTTTTTCCCCCTTATTTTTTAAAATTCAAAAATGTTTGATCTGCTTAGCTGAAAATAATGTGTGATTTAATATTTGGAAAACCAAAATCGTTACTTTTTTACTCCAAAAATGTCTATAAGGCGATGTACTTTTTCTGTCATTGAGGCATTTGGCATAACTTCATCGAAATGAAGTTCTTTTACTTTAGAACATTTTTTAAATAATGCAAAAACACATCTTCGTATAAAATAGGCAATCTTTTTTTAAGATAAAGCGACACAATTTAATATAATATAAAGAATACAAAAGAAATCATATATATTTTTATCATGCCCAATTCACACATAAACATGTAAAATGCTTATGTATAGAAAAATGAATTCACTGCGGTGTAAATTTCGTTTGCACCTAACCCTCTTATCATTGGAGCGTATTTATATTACCCGCAATACTGCAGGCAGGTTTCTCTCGCCAATAAAAACAAAATAGTTTCTTTCATGGAGGGCGAATCGAAGCGATTTCAGATAAAATATACTCGGAACGTGCGGAATCTGCCATACATTCGTTGCAATTCGAATGATAGAGCCCATTGCAAGTGACCTAATGGGTCTTTTCAATATTCCTTCCCTCGACGGCCTGACTTAGAGTGGACATCTGCAGTTTAAGTGAGCACGTTCATCGGGAATGGACAATGAAGCCCCGTCGAAGCTGAAGCTGAAATCTGAAAATAGAACGGACATAACCCGAATCGGCGCTCTTATTATTTCCCACGTTTTTCTTTCGCCCATTCCAGCCAAATTTATGTCCACACTCAAGTTAATATCCGTATGAATTTTGTGTTCATATATGGGTGAATATATTGAGTTTTTTGGTTGTTTCACTGTTAGTCTAGAATGAGGTTTTTGGGAAGCCACCAGGTCTAGTAATAACATTACATAAGAAATTCTGCACTAATGCAAGAATTTTAAGAAATCATACATTTTGAATATTACAGCTTTAAGGAAGATAGCTTCACGGAGGTTAGGATTTCGTATGTTTTTTTAAACATCCCTTTGTATATTTGAAATAAGTTATTGTATCTTTTGACACCTTAATATTTAAAAAAAATGCAATTGTACATACATAAAATATATATAAAAAATCTACTTACTGAGATATTACACTTAACGGTGGATAGGTTTTTAAAAAGCATAAAATTCTAACTGACCTTCAGGAATCACATGCATCCATAATGTCGTAAACACCTACATAAATGGTTATAAAAAATATTTCTTTTAATTTTTAATACTATTTTATATTTGATTCGATTGCTTTGGATGTGTTTAATTTACTTAGTGGACTGATATTTTTAGTTTGCTTTTACTACCTCAGATATTTGAAAACATAAAGGTTAACCTAGAAAGAGTAACAGTCACGGAGGATAGGTTTTAGACTTTTAAAACATTGTAAAAAATAATTAATTGCGGTTAAAAATCTGGAACCTGAGCTGCAATATCTACTTAATTATGAAAGATCAGAACACAATAAAAGTTTAGGTCAAACTCATTTAGTTTTATTAAATATCACGGGGTAACACCATTAGGGGACATTTCGTGAGATTCACCCATATGCACTCAAAATTCAGTAAATATGTTAATAAATAAAATTATGCAGAATGACTGCTTTCGTATATTGGCGGTGCATTAGCAAAAAAAACTATATTTAAATTTGGCAACACCGCTAAATAGTGCAAGATGATTTAGTGAAGGTGCACAGAAAAAAAAGAAATGGTTAATTTAACCATATTAATTTAGTTGACCCATATTTATTTAAATCAACTGTGGGAAGGTTAATATAAACAAAGATTAGTTTGACGGTACTAAACCAGATACTTAGTTATTTTACTTTTTTAAATTGGTTAAATTAACCCAGAAAACTTGAAAACCTACCCTCTGCATGGTTTACTAAATATGCTGTTTATAAAATAAGAGTTACTTCAACCTTTACGATTAAAACAATTTGCCGTGCATTCCTGGTTGCATAGTGTGTACCGATCGCGGCAAAGGCGGTGTGGATCTCGTGATGTTCTTAAATCTCGCCTCTGTTGACTTACATGAAAAGTATATAAGCTCAGGTAGTCCTTTGCTTTGGTTTGGTTTAGGGTGACAGTAATTAGGTAGAAACAGCTATTAATACTAAGTTTTTTAAGTTGGTGGAAGGCACTAAAAGTTCTGCTAATTAAAAAAATTGAAATATACTATTATGCAGAATAACTGTTTTTGGATATTGACGGTATTTGTTATCTACGAGGTTATTATCAACCAATTTTTTACCAGCTATAGTTAATTCAGTGACTAAAAATAAGTTCAGTATAAAAGTGTGCATAACAGAAGAAAAAGCGAAAACGAATGTCGATAGAACATTTTTGCGGAAGGGGATGCGGATGCAAAAGTATAAGTACTATAAAAAATGAATAATATTAGCCAATTTAGCCATTTCTAGAAAATTTAGGTAGCCTCCGATATAAAAATGCGAAAGCAGATGCAGAAGTGAATGTGACAAAGTGTGCAGAACTTCCGCAGTTGAAGAAGCCGATCAGTTACACTAGTATACAGTAAAATCTTGATAATCCAAAAAATGTTTAATTCTGAATATACTATATCTACAAAAACAAAAACACACCAATGAAGGCCTAATTAAGTCAAGGTTTTTTCCAGCAATTTTAAACTAAAACTATCTTTATCAGTAAATTAGTGTGTATACCCACGTAATTTCCAAACCTAAACGAATATGCTATACATTTAAAAAATATTTTAAAATGCAAAAAAAAGTGGAAAAAGAAAAACCATGGGCTCAAATATTTGCTGTTTTTACTGGTAATAAACATTTTTTACAGACAAAATTAATACAGGGTTGGGAGAAAATTCCTTGGTAAAAAAGAAAGGGTTTGACCATAGACATAATATTGAAGTGAAGTGTTGAAAAACATGAACCGAAATTAACCTCAAAGCTAAGTTTGTTTGATGGGTTTTTGTTAAAATACAATGGTGGTTGTTCTTTGTTGGGTTGTAAAAAATATATAAATATTATAATGACGGGTAAAATAACCGTTCACAGATCTATACCAATCACTAATTTATTTGTGTTCAAAATTTACTGAATACCTAGTTCCTACACAAAAACATTTTTTTTTAAATTTTAACTTCAAAAGTCTTATTTTTTACAAAGGAATCCACCATATCCTTTTTTTCCAACCTTTATGCCACACTCTGTATATTTCATACTTTTATTTTTAGTGTCTTTATCATCAATTTCAATATTCATCTTCCTATCCTGGCCATCAACTTCAATAAAAAAACTTACAGCTGATAAAGTTTCCTACAACATCAGTGATGAGGAAGCGTCATATTTTACAGTGGTGCCACCCGTAGCATCTATTTTAATCAGCCCTGTCATATCAAAACTGAACGATCAAATAGGCAGAAAGTACACCATACTTACAATTGGAGTACTCCAGATTATATCATGGGTTTTGATTATTTTCGCCAAATCAATTTGGATGTTCTACTTGTCCAGGTGTTTTTATGGAATGGCCGAATCGGGGTTTTACACTTCAGTGCCCCTGTATATAGCGGAAATTTGCGCGCCCAAAATACGGGAAACTGGCGGAAACTTCATGATGTTTGTTATGTATCTCGGATTGATTCTATCGAATGCTGTGGGGAGTTCATATACGATACGGGAAGAGGCGTTTATTTTTGTTTGTTTTCCTGTGTTATTCGTTGTTATTTTCATGTTCATGCCGGAGTCTCCGACGTATTTGATAATGATAAACAAAGATGAAGAAGCTAGGAACACTTTGAAGTGGCTGACGATGCAAAGTGATGTTGAGGAAGACTTTACATCTCTTAAAAATTCTGTTCATGCAGACATGTTGGAATCTGGGACATGGACGGATTTATTTTGCATTACAAGCAATAGAAAGGCTTTGTGCGCAGGTGTGTTTCTAAGATTGTCCCAGCAGTTGGCGGGACTTGGGACGTTTTGTGCATACACCCAAGTAATTTTTGAAAAAGCTGGAGGAAATTTATCCCCAACGCTAGCATCAAGTATCATTACTGGATGCCTCTGTATCTTCATTGTAACTGGATTTTTTGTTCTGGATGCACTTGGACGTAAAAAAACCTACATCACATCAACATTCTTCTCTGGCGTATCATTGCTGGTAATCTCCATCTACTTTTTCCTGGATGAACACGCATCAACCTTGGACCTGACAAAATTCACAATGCTGCCGTTCATAGCATCCATATCCTACACATTTTTCGTCACCATGGGATTGGCAACACTGCCTGTGATAATGCCGGGCGAATTATTTTCCACCAGCATCAAAACTAAAGGATTGGCTCTACTGAACATTGAATACGCTTTCTGTTTGTGCTTCATGACCAAGTTGTTCTACGAACTGAAAAACAGAGTTGGCATGTTCTGCCCCTTTCTTTTGTTCGGCGTGAGTTGTTTGGTGGCCACTGTCGTTTCCTTTTTTGTAGTGCCCGAAACCAAAGGAAAGACTCTTGAGGAAATACAACAGGATTTAAGAAGAAAAAATGTACAATGATTTTTGTTATGTAATTAATGTTATATATTAAAATACTGAATACCTTTTGACATAAGGAATAAAGGAAAAATATTTAATAAAATATTTTTCCAAAGATAAAGAAAAAATATGCATTAGAAGTTTTTTATATTTTTTGTGATACGACACTGGTTACACACTTGGTTTATCTCTGCACACTTGTATTCTGTGAGTACATAGATACCAACCAACAAAGTAGCTACGCGTTGCCAGATGTAAAAAATTGTTACTAAAAATTTTTCTTGCAAAAAATAAATAAAAACACAATAAATACAAAAGTTTTATGCCCTTAAAGCTCTAATACCCTTCTGTATTTATTTACTCATCCAGCTATTAGCTTAAGCAATGATTAGAAAATTTAGTACCTATTTTAAAAAATCCATAACCACAAAATTAATTTTTTCATCAGTTTTTTTCTTTCTGTTTACTCAGATGAAATTGGGACCAGTTCACAGGTTAAACTTTAAACATTTAATTTGTGTAAATAAATTCAAAAGCACTTCCCTTAGTTAAGATATTTACAATTTGAGCACATAACCTAAAATTTGAAAGAAATGCACTAGATTCTGTCATAAAAGTTGACAGATTTTGTTTGAATTTACCTTCAGTACAAAAATGACATAACCAACAATTAATAAAAACGCCAAATTGACAATTTGCATTGTTAATTTTGTCATTTTTGTAATTAAGCTAAATTTAAACAATGTTTGTCAACTTTTTTGAGAGATTTTGAAAACACTGTTGTTACCAACCATAACATAATAAATCCACCAGATTAGCCTAAAGTTCCTAGTCGATCAGTGGCGTACTTTTTGGTAGGATAAAGGTTATTATAAATTATTTTTAGACTTTGGAATTTAGAAAAAAAAAGTTTCAGGTACTTCTTTATGGACCCTAAGGAACAACCCATTTTAATATATAACATTAATTACATAACACCCTGTATTTTACACGACGCCACTGGTTAATGCCCGTTATCGAGGAACACATCAAATGGTTTGATAGCAGCCGCTCGGTAGTCTTGTTACCCCTTTTTGCATTCTTCACAACTTCCAAAGTGTGTTCGAAGCTCTTTACGAATTATTGTAATACTTTGCCGCAGCTTAAAAGTTATAAACATTATGTTCCCTTCACTTACTATCCTGCTTTGCCAACATCACATTATCATTCTGAAATTTTTAGACATTATGTATTATGCTAAAGTTGAGGTAATATAGTTAAGGAAGGATTTAAAAGTGAATTTATTATTGAATTGAACAATTTTTATATAAACATAACGACTTTCCATCAAATAATAGAAATTGTTAAATATTTTTTAAAGATAAATTGCTGTTTTAGGTAATTTTTTATTTCGTTTTTGTAAATATATAATTCATTAATTCATATATTTCTTTCTCGGATTCCTCATCCCTTTTCTGGATTCTAAAGGTAACTACTAATCTTGGTCTGACTTTTTTAAAGTTTTTGCAAAAAAATGTATTTAGCAAGCTTTATATATCTCCACTGTGATACCAATTTGAAATCCAAAATTTAATTCAATAAAAAAGTTGTACTTAGTTCACAAACTTTTGACTATTTTTTATTTTATTTTTTATTAAAAATTGTATGCTTTTATTATATACGAGTATGTATGTTAAGTTAAGTTACTTTTTAAAAGAAACCATTCCGATTCTTTGTTAAAAAACAATACCATTAATATTTTCTTTTAGTCACTGTATTACCAAGTGATAGTGTATAAAAATCATTTTAAGTATTTAAAAAAAAAACTTAAAAAAAGTAACGAAATAGACATTGTTATCACAACTGACAGGGGTACACAAAGGACTTAATCAGATAACGTAAAAAAGAAACTATGGTACGATTTTAGAGTAATGCATAAACAAAATCCCTTGTAGTGGTGCTCACTTGCAGAATAACAACTTAGATTTCTAAATTGTAGACACCCTTTTTCTTTGACTATAAGCTGGTGAAGGTCCCTTTTAGTACTTTTATATTGCGTGGAATTTTGGATGTAATCTATATCATGAGTTGTAATTACAAATAATTTTAAATTTGTTAATCATAAACTACTTTTAATAAAAGCGATAAATATCCACTTTGTTGTCGAAAAATTCTATTGCGTTACCCTAAATTCCATCCATAAGGTAACATAGTGGACTAAGTAACGCAGTGGACAAAGTATTGTAAAATCATATTTAAAAAATAATAATAAGACATTATAGTCATTAAATATTCTCAATGAGCTTTAGTGCCCTAAAATAAACATAAACATGAAAAATAGTATTTTTTTCTTACCTTATTTTTATTATTTTTTTGAGTAACTTAGCGGACAAACAATTATTACATTCGCGTTACCCGCACCTGTTTCAACCGATATCTTCTTCCTGATTAAATAAATTCAGCTGGGTAATATGTACGTCCGAACATCATTTGTTGATCACGTGAGTACCAAAAAAGTTGCCATATATATGTTTTTTTTTAATATTCTATCGGTAACGCGACGGACGTAACGCAACGGAAAAAATGTCTGGGACATGAGTCAAATTTAAAAAAAAGTAGATTAAAATTAATTATTTTATATATAAATTGTTTACTGTATTAACTAAGGATGTTATGGATTGCTATAAAGCAACACAAAGTTCTGGTTATTCAATATTAAAAAAAAACATGTATGTAAGTTTTATAAAACGCTAATGGGACAAGCGAAAATGTGTGTTTCACAAGTTTCAAAATTAAAAAAAAATTATTCTGAAATAACTAAACAAAAATTTTCTGAAAGAGTCTACTAAGGGCTTGTTAGGCTTTCACTTTGTTTTTAAATCAATAAGATCAGATTATTTTTAACAAAGTTATTGGAATTCAAACTTACGGACAGCGGAAGGCGGGTGTTTTTTGAAAACGACCCAACTATAAAGTGTCTACTTTACCCTATTTAATAACATTTCTGGTTAAAGAATATGACATATTTCATTGAATTTACCGTTATTATTAAAATATTTTTAATATCTACATATTCATTTTTATTATAAAGAAAAAATACGTGCTGAAACAAGTCTGTAAAGAAAACCCAGTAGTAATGACACCTTTAATTTGATGAAACAAATTTAATTAATCTCATCATAATTAACAAAAAATTTAATTTAGATACCATAAATACTATGTCGGATTTTGTATATAAAATGACAGGAAAAAAGTATAATAAAGAATATTTTAAATGCGGTGAAAAGTAACTTCGTCAAAAGAAAATTTAATTTCAAAGAAGGGAAAGCTGTCAGACTGAATTCTCGAAAAAGTTATACCGTCATTTGGATGAATTATTATATAAGTATGTATACATAAACTTTCTAAACTTTTTTAGACGCGTTTAATTTTTTTATAATTACTAAGAGAATATTTTATGAATATTATTATAATACAAGCAGATTATTTAGATGAGTTGTAAAGTTTTAATGCTTGCGTTCGCAAACAAAAGTTTCTTGTGCCGTATTTTGTGTATTTAGTTTCCCCAGCAATGCCAGGCTAAAATAATAATTAATTTCCATGGAGCTTGTTATTTTATTTTAAAATGTAAATAATAGGAATAGGCCTACTTTTAAGTAGTAAATAATACAACACAAATATTTTGGTTATTAATTAAAAAAATTAACATTAAATTTTTAAATGATACACAGTAAAAAATTTTGCTCGTGTAAATTTTTTTGTGTAGGGTTAAAACTATTAGAGTTGATTTGTAAGTGTAAAAGTTACACTACAAAATACACTAGGTAGCATTTAGTGCTAGAATATGAACATTGCTCATTGGTACATTCACACTATTTATTATTAAAATAAATCAAAAGAGTAGAAAAACTTAATGCGAGTGTTTATTACCCCTTAATGTGTTAAATAGTGACAAAATGTACACTACAGTGCATGCCAATTTCTTTGTCTGTTTTGATGTTACTAAGAGCTCTTTTTTCTTTACACTACTAGTGCACATTGTATCACAATTAAAGTTAAATTACACCAATAGTGGCAAAATAGACTGAAAAAACTGGTAATAACCGAAATGCGTTTTAAAATGTTGGTTGGTACCTATCTACCTACGTAGTGCATATCCGGAGATACCGCATTGTGGAAGTGTGGCATTTTCGTTCAGTAAGATTTTAATTACGGTGAATCAATAAAGGGACATTCTTATTTTTTGGTAAGTATTATTCTCCCTTTTCTTTAAGCCTTAATACTCAATAAATACCAATATGTTAAAAGGATGTCCATACCCGATCTATATTATATATCAATAATTTACTGCAGGAGGTCGGGTACTTGTAACATTAATAATATCATTGAGTAACTTCTTTACTCAATGATAATATACATACATACACACTTGATTTACTTTTTATTGTCAAGCGTAATGGTTGTTATATTAACCTATACCTACGTTTTTATAAATATTATGGAAAATTTGTACACGTGTGGTAAATCCCCGACATAAAGCCACCTGACGCCTCTACCAATGGGATCACCCATTTTTTATGACAGAAAAATGGATTAATGATGAATTCTCAAGATAATTCATTGCTTACTAGTTGACAGCCAGTTAAACATTGCATTGATCTACAACTTTTTCGTTTTAAGGAACCTTTTTGCTTAAGCCAGCCATACGACTCAAATATAAAATTATATTTTAAAAGGCACCGATTTTGATAATTGTCATAGATTTTTGTTCCAAATAAATGTTTCTCTTTATTTACCTTTTCGTTTTATTCACTACCACCAATAGGTTTTACTCAAATAATAGTGTTAATTTACACTGAACAAAAGTGGGATTTTACCCAGGAAGTGTAGAAGTACACGATTTTAGGTAAATTAAAACTTTTTAATACAGTGTAAAATTACTTATCCTCAGTGCTATAGGGTTATATCATACTTGCTTACTTGGGGAAAATTACACTACAAATTAACTCTAATTGTAGTGTTATAAAACAACACTATTTAGTGTGGACCTGTGTGAACTCTAAATGAAGTATAAAGTTAGATTGATGTGGAACACATTTTAGAAGAAGTAAATTTATGCTGGAGCATATATACAACACTATTCGTGTAGCGCGGGATTCTCAGCATAAACCCGACCGATTTTAAAATATGTTGTGTGCTGTATATTTATATAAAAATGCGCCATATAAATCTGTCCTAAGCACCGAAAAGGATCACTTTATACCCGAAACATTGCTACAGGATTAAATTGATAGCCCTATTCGCGAGAGTTTTTATTAAATTTAATGTGAAGGTATTTTTAAATGCCCACCTAAATAAATAAAAAACATTTACAAAATAATTTTTTACTAAAATGTTAAGTTCATTTTTTTATCTGTACTGCGGCAACGTTGCAAATTTAGGGTTTTGGTTGGTAAATACAGTTGTCAAGTTGGTCGCATTGATTAAAACAAACTAAGCTAGTTATAAATCTAATTGTGGTTATGTATAAATTATTGTAAGTTACATTGTGCAGTTGTCAAGTTGAGTTGTCGAAATTCGTAGTTAAAAATGCAATTAATTTGGCTTTGGTGGTGCTTGGATGAGTAAAATCATA